AAGTAGCCTGCAGTGCTGCATTTAACCACTGCGCCACCTCGAGTTCTTCTTTAGCTATCTGCTTCTCTGGATTCAGAATTCTAATTAGGCTTGATATTAATGATTTATGCATATTTTTTATAATTTCACATAGTTCTTCAAATTCCCAGTTTTCCATGATGTCCAGTTCCAAAGTTACAGTTAGCTATACACTTATGGAATTCTTATTTCAGCGTTCTGTTCCACCTTAAATTTATCTGCTTCAGTTTCTGTGGGGAGAAATGATGGGGGCCATCTTAGTCTTTTGTTTTTCCTTAATGTCCAGTTCCAAAATTGCAGTTAGTTATACAAACCTTATTTTGAGATTCTGGTCCACCTTAAATTCAAACCGGAAGAGAAGCTGGGGCCATCTTAATCTTTTGCCGAGCGAAAAAGGAGAGAAAGAAAAAAAGCAACAAAGCAAAACAAAAAAACCCCTTCATATTTCCCAGTTTTTGATTCCGTTATTATTCTGTTGTTATTCTTTCCCTTACCGGGTCCGGTTGCTTGTAGCTACTCACAATACATCACTTGGAACAGACTTGCGATCAACCAGATTTGGGTATTTTTGTTTGCCTCCTACTTTTCAAAATTCTGATTTATGGCAGTTGGTTAGTTAAAACTTCCCATACAGTCAAAGTTAGGTTATCAGTTATCAGTAAGACGAATTGCTTTTTTTTGGAGTTAAGATATATTAGTTGGAAAGACTTCAAACAGAATAAATCCTTCAAAGTATTTGGTTTCTATTTCAAATCCAAAACCAAGTTTAGAGTTTATATTTGAGTGGGTTTGTCATTTCTCTGCTTTCTCCTTTCTGTCCAAAATTGTTTCAAATAAAACCTTGGCCGGGGTGGTGGTGGTGTTTCAACCCTCCATTTGTCCTTTCTTTCTTTCTTTTTGAAAAAGTCCTGATCTGACCATCAATATTATTTATGTTCTCAAGATTTCTTTGCCTTTTCCANCACATGTCCATCACATGGTCCAATCAGACACCGTCCCAACTGGAGATGCCTTCCAATCACACCACTCCAGGTGCAGGGCAAGACGTCCTTGATTCTGAGAAAGGAATGTTCTTTTGACTATATCTATCCCGCTCCATATAACGCCCCCGCTCTCAATTTCCCACAGCAGTAAATGTGGCAGGCCTGAAGGCCCAATGCAATAGATGGCTTCCAGGCCTGACACCAGGCTGCTCTGGCTGAAGGTTCTTCCCTGTCGGTGGCTTGTAGGGACTGAGAGCCAGGTGAGTTCATGGCTGCCTGAAATATGCTTGCAGCAGCTGCTAAACACAGAGTGGGTGGCCCTCTGCCTCTACCTGCTGTCAGTGCCACCACGGCGAGGCAGGTGGCAAGGCAAGGGTGGCCCTGCATGTCCGTCCCTGCCGTCCAATGTCTTGTGCGTCTTTTGGAGCAAAAAATAAATAAGACCAGGTCTTATTTTTTGGGAAAACAGTAATTACTATTCCTTAGTGAACAAATATAGCTAATAATTTGAAGTCTTTGAAGGCAGGTTTGTAGGAAATGTTCCCTTGTTGTGAAATGGGAAAAAAAGAACATTCTGTTTCAGATCATTTCCTATATTTTTCAACTTTATCCAGTAATTTTCACAATAATACATTAGTTCACCAAGCTTTAAATAGAGATCCTAGGAGTTCTCATCAACTGGCCAGAAGTTAATAGCTACAAAATTATGGGTATAAAAATGTTAGATTCAATGTCTTTTTATGCTTTGCCCTATGCTAAATGAGAAAACGTTTTGTCAATTTTATTACGTACATTTAAAAAAATACACAAAAACATTAACAATAAAAAATACAATGAAGAATAAGAGAATAGGGATAGTAGTGTGAAATGGTATATGTTTTATCCATAAACCCTAACAAAAAGTTTCCCATCTAAATTGTATATTTTGAAAAAAAAATGAATTACATTACTAATTTCAATCCAATATTATTTAGCTCTTTTGCAAGTCCACCAAAGGTGATAAAGGTTCCTGTTTGAGTGTTACTTCAATCTTCATTTGTGATGATTTTTTGCCCAGGTTATCGTACAATTTTTAACTAGTTCATCTTCTGTTTCCAATTTTAACAAATGTTTATAATTTTTAGTGATAAAGTTGTTAATCGTTTGTACACAGTTCCGTTTCAAAGATAGTTTTAACATGTTCGGAATTGAATACTTTATCAGCTTTAAATCTCTGTGATTTGCAAATACAAAAACCATTGACAATTGAAACCTTCTAATACCAAGTGTACTCTGGATTTTAATTTAATATCATATGTGAAGTAATCCAATAAATCTGCATACCTTAACTATTTTTGTCTGACCCTCATTTTTTTCCTCTAATGTGCTTTTGTTGGGGGGGCATAAAGGTACTTTTGGCCATAGTCTCATTTCATATTTATTCCAAATTCTCAAAATGGCTCGCCTAATAAAGTGGTTTCTAAAATCAACATGCCATCAAACATTTTCTGAAAGTATTTGCAACCAGCTTTTTAACATTTAAGTAACTAATAACTTTTTTTTTAAGGATCTAAAAGGAAAAGTGAGGGGATGGAAGTAGCTGAAATTAAAAAACAAAAACCATCTGTACATTCCTCAAGGCAGATGTTACCCAAACTTCCAAGTTCTTCTATTGACAACAACAAAAGAATTGGGAGCACAAAAGGAAAGCCAGTATTGGAATACAAGAGTGAGGACTATCGAAGGTCTGACAGAAGTAAACCTCCAGATGGTGATAGAAAGATACATATGACAAGCAGCACCTCCAGTGATCCCTATGAGGGAAAGCCTGAAAAGACATGTATGAGGAAAAGGGATGCTGACAGAAGGGCTAAGTCTTCTACTCCAGATGCTTCTGTAGTAAGTAATGGGTTGTGAATCTCTCTGTACTTAGATAGGATCTTTCCTGCAATAGTATGTTGCTTTATATTATTAATTCCTTAGGCATTTCAGATGTTTACCTTCCTTGCTCAGTTTAAAGTACACTGTAATTATTAGGCAAGTTGTATTTTGGAGGATTAATTGTAGTATTGAACAACAATGCTCTTGGTAAATCCAAAATGTTAATAAACCTCAAACCTGAATATTTAAGAAAGTAAAAGTGAGGTTTTGGCTTTCTTAGGAGACTATTTATGTGTGCACAATTATTGGGCAACTATTAGTGCAAAGAATTATGCAACTAAATGAAAATTTGCCCATCTCATTCATTTATTTGCATCTGTTAAAGTGAGAATAATAAACAACTCAAAAATGTACAAATAAACCAGTGGTGGGTTGCAGGCGGTACGTCCCAGTATGGGCGTACTGGAGCCTGCCTGGAGCACCGCGTACTGTTCCAGTACGGTGCTCCGGAGGGCCCATCCACCCATCTGAGCTCCTTACCTGTCCTTTAAAGCCTTTGGCTTTTGTCTGTTTTTTCCCCCCTTTTGTTGGGACAACTCCCCTTTTCACAATTTTCCCTACACCACTGCCAGGACCAAGGGAGTTTTCTGTCTGCTTTTTATTTCCCTCNGACCAGTTCCTCCATGTCATCACTGTCGACTTCAAGACCCATGCTCTTACCCTTGGACACGATCTCCACAACAGGGGGCTCAAATCCTTCAAAATCTCGTTCAGCAACACATTCAGGCCAAAGTTTCTTCCACGCTGAGTTCAAGGTCCGGTTCATGATGTCGTCCCAGGCTTTGTTGATGAGGCTGATGCAATGAACAATATTAAAGTGGTTCTTCCAGAACTCCTTTAGGCGTGAGGCTATGGGCCGAACTGCTCCGTGTCGCGTGAAAGGAGGTTGATGCCCTGGAAGGTGAACATAGGCTGGCTCAAGGTCCACCTGGGCTATTCAGTGCCAAGGGGTTGAGTGGCGCTGCCCACGCTGAGTTGGCCATACTGCTCCGGGAGACCAGCTAGCGACTGGCTGCGTGACGGTGGCAGGAATCCACATTCTCCAGAGTTCTTGCGGTGCATCTGCTTCAGCATTCTCCACTCAAGGGTCGGGGCTTGTCCCGCATTCATCTGTGGTTCTGACAGCATCTCCTAGAAAAGTGTGGCGCCCGCAGCTTTGCCTCGCAGGATCAGGTACGGTTGCACGACTCGCTCAGGTACCGGCTCTTTGGGCCAGGCACCCAGCTCGCACTCCCTCTCTACAGCTTCTTCTGCTTCCAACACGGCTTGGGAAGGGGAGTAGATGGTCTCGACATAAATTGCCGAACCATCTCCTGTGGCTCCCTCCATGGCTTTCTTGTCTTCCTGCATCTTCCCTGGGTCTGGGAAGCTGGTTAAGTTTTAAAAGGGATTCCGGTTAATGTCAGGGTTCCAAGTAATACCCCCAATGAAAGAAGACTCCAAGGCTTGAGTGTCAGGCCTGCAGCCATGTTCCTTTTGGATCTTTGGCCTGCCACACTTCTATCTACCATGCTGTTTCTATAGTGGGGAAATGAGAGGGGGATAGTAAGGAATAGAATGTGATGTAACCAAAATAAAATACCTTTTAGATTGCCAAGGTCATCCTTTGTCTTGGNGCTGTGGGTTAGATAAATTTTCTTACCGGTCTTTCATCTCTTCTGCAACCTCCTGTTCCTTTTGCTTTGATAAGAAGTCAGCATCTTGTCAGCCATATTGCAGACTGTCACCCCGACTCCAATTCAAAAGGCAAATCTCCGACCTGTGAGGGACCTGTTGCCTCCCTCTGGGTCTGATGAGATGCTGCCCTCTTCGCCCCCACCCCCTCCAGGGTGTGTGTGTTCTGATCCAAAAGGAACTCGGAATTGGTTTATCAGACAGGGTTCATGTGAGGCTCTTAAGAGCCCACACCCCCCACGTCTGTCCAGCTGAAGAATTTCCTGTCGAACATATAAAGTAATTTGAAGAGGCGTGGACAACCTCCTGGTGAATTTAAATTGGTTGGACTGACTATTGATGAGACATTTAAAATTGTGACTTGGAAGTTTGGCTTTTTGAATTAACGAACTCTGGACAGTGGACTAAAAAGAGATTGACTAAACACAGGCGCAACACAAGACAGAAGTGAGGGGAGCCTAAACAGAATGGAGCTTTTTCAAAGCATTGAGAAAATATTTGACCGTATAGACCAAAAATTGGGAAAGTTAATGCAAAGAATAATGGACAAGGATCAGGACAAGGAAGAAAGAATGGAGCTACCAGAAGAAACAGGGGAAAGCAGAGAGAAATCAACAACAAGAAGAAAACGAGATGTTACCAAAACTATTATTGATTAAGGAACTAAAAAAGGAGGGAAATAATGTAAAAGACCTAAAAAGGGAATGGGAAAAACAGGAAGAGAACTGGGGAAAAGAGATAGGAGGTGGAATGGATATTTCTGGAATTAGACAGTGTGAAAGGGTAGGGTTGGGAGAAAAAGTTAGATTGCATAATCAAATTAAGGGAATAAAAGACCTAAGGGAAAAAAATATGGGAGGAAAAGTAAAAAGAAAATAAGATTAAAGGTTCAGATGTGGGTAAGAGATGATGGATAAGGGAAAATAGAGTAAAATAATATCTTTATGAATATATTTCAATAATATGTATTAATATTAGAACTATACAGGTTGGATTATTATTTTAGCAGTGTGATAGATATTAGGATAATATTTTAACATAAATGGATATGAAGAATTGGAAAAATAGATTTTGAATATTGGAGTTAAGGGACAAGGAAGACTCAGAATATTATACAGTTTGGGAAAACTGGTATCAATGGATAAATAATAGGAAAATGAAATGTACAGCTTAGAAACATAGATTTATAGATATAGGAATAATTAGGAATGTGTAAAAATGGATTTGAATAACAATTGGTTATGTTAGTACTGTCAAAAAGGATCGTAACTTATACAAAATTATTTTTAAAGGTATTTGTATTTTAATGTTTTAAATATCTAATAAATAGTGGTCAGATTTCTGCCTTCTTTACCTTGGCCATGTCTCTGAGCACTGAACACCTTGTACTTCTGGGCACTCCAGGTAGGTTTCAGTTCAGTTATGACAGCACTGGAGGATAATGGGTTCCTGGTAGCTTCACATTTGATTCTTCTCAAATCTTTGGCAGTTAATCTGCGTCTTTTTTTTTCAACAT